GGAGAAGGCGGAGGGACAGAGGCGGATGAAGGGCGAGGATGGTGGAGGACGGCGAGGAGGACAGGCGCGGGGAGGACGAGAAGGAGGGTGCTTTACGCAGACACGCTGCCGCCGATCCGCTGGTTTAATGTTTGGCCCCTTGATGTCGCAGCTCTGCCGCGACTGAGACCTGCGACCATGAGGCCACGGGAAGTTTGCAAAGGGGGAAACGGGCAAGGGGAGGAGCAAGGACACTTCGGAGTCGCACATCGCAAGGAGGAGGAGGAGGAGGTGGAGGAGGACTTCACGCTTTCCATCCTCCCTTCTCCTCCACTTTCTCCCCTCCTCCCCCTCCTCCTCTTCCGCCTCGGCATTCTCCTCCTCTTCCTCCTCCTCCTCTTCTCATATCCCTCCTCCCTCATCGCTTCTCACCTCGCCCCCCGTCTCTTGAGCAAGAGGATGCTCGTATTCACGATCATCCTCCCCCTACTTCCCCTCATCATTCATTATTGCGATTACCAATGCGATGACTAAAACATGTTACGAGTGTTCCCATTCGTCTGCATCACGATCGCCATCACCATCATCACAATCATCGTCACCGTCGCCACCATCATCCTCATTATCGTCATCACCATCGACCGTCTCGTAACCTTGACCCCAACAAGCACCAACACCATTACCCTTTATCCTTCTCTCCTCATCGTCACATCAACACTTCCCTCCTTCTGCTCTCCCTCCTCCTTTCCTCCTCCCCCTCTGCTTGCTCCCCTATCGCGGACCCCTTTCCTCAACAGCAACCCCCCTTCTCTTCCCCCATTCTCATGCTCCACCGCCCTCGGACTCCTGGCGGAGCTCGCTCGCTTTCCCAACACTGAAAAGACAACTTCGCGACACCTGACGCGCGGCGGCCAGGATCCGCTGCGAAAGGATGCGCGTCGAGGATGCCAGCGTCGAAAAGCAGGGAGATAGGGCGACTGGACATCAAGAGGCCCTGACGAGGGCCGCCCCACGACCCCCGATCTTATGTTCGTGCGCTAGGCCGCGATTATGTCCTTCCTGCTAGACAGCCCCTGAGCAATTGCCATGATACCTCTAAGATGCCCTCTGGGGGGCCCAATGAAACTGCAAGAGGTCCCAAGAGGTCCTCCAAGAAGACTCGCGCCAAATTTCTCGATGTTGTTTCTCTTCACCCCCCAACAAGACACGCTCGACCCACGAACCCGGAAAGGGAACTAGAACTGCGAGGCATGGGCACGTTTCAAAGCACATCAATTGGGCGATGGGCAGTGGCAATACTAAAGAGACCGATGCTGATGACAATGTTGTACCATGTGCAATGTTGTGCAATGGTGTGCAATGTTGTGCAATGTTGTGCAATGTTGTACCATGTGCAATGTTGTGCTGCGCTGCGCTGCACCGCGCCGCCCAATGACCTTTCCAGGGGACGCGCCAGGGGACGCGCCAAGGGACGTGCCAGGGGACGCGCCGCGAGACACGCCGGGGGGGGGCACGCCGCGTAACGGCCGACGCACCAGGGGACGGGCCAGGGGACGTGCCAGGGGACACACCGCGGGACGTGCAAGGGGGATGTGCCACGGAACGTGCCAGTGGATGTGCCAAGGGACGTGCCAGGGGACGCGCCGCGCGACGAGCCAGGGTGCCAGGGGGGCGCGCCACGGGACCCGCCACGGAGCGTGCCAGGGAACATGCCAGGCGACGCGCCAGGGGAAGCGATAGATAGAAATGTGCAGCATGGGCATTGTTCAAGCCACCAGATTTGAGCGACGGGTAATTGCAATGCTCGAGGTAGCGATGGTGATGTGCAATCCCAGGGACTGTGTTGTACTGCTCTGTGAGGAACTGAGACGCACCATGCCGCGTCGAAGTGCTGTGCACTATTGCATGGTGGATCAGGTCGCCCGTGGCGTCAGAATCCCGATCGAACTGATCTGGATCTTGAGCTTGCGCTGCCTGAGCTATCCGCAATCGAAACGCGCGGGGCGCTCGCCCAACTCGAGCTCAAGGTCCGATTCAGGTCGGAAGCAAAACGAACCGAAAAGGGACGAATCGGAACAGTTCTGTGCTCCGTTACGTCGTGGACCAAATCGTCCCTAGCATCCGAATCCTGACAGAACTGAGCTAGGCCTCAAACTGCCTGGGCGCCTTACTCGCCCAGATATGATTACAACCGAGACCCTATGAACGGATTACGTTCCGCAACAGGACGAAGTGATGAGGGCGAATCCAAGCCGAGGCGATATGCATCGAGAAGGGGCGGGCCGAAACGCCGACGATGACAACGACGGCGGGCGGAGACGACAGCGACCACGGCTCCAGCACGGGACCACTATGTTAGATACCCACCTGAGTGGCCTTGACACGTAAAAACATATGGCTCCAGCTCGGGACCACCATATTAGATACCCGATGGGGGAATATGGAGAACCACCAGCCCGCGAAACTGCACCATGTTATCACACAGCTGGCGTTGATTTGTGGATTTTGCCTGGCTCTTGTGGGCCGCCACGCTGGGGGCGCCCAGACGACCACATGTTAGATAGCTCGGGACCCCATGTTGATTATCCCCCTGGGTGGCCTGGACACGTGAAAACACGTGGTTCCAGCTCGGGACCACCACGTTAAATGATACCCCTCTGGGTAGTCTGGACACGTGAACACACTTGGCTCCAGCGAGGGGCCACCATGTTAGATACATGTTCTGAATGACCTGGACACATGAAAACACGTGATTTCAGCCAGGGGCAAGAAGCAACCATCGTACCTTCTCCCCCCCCCCCTGGGTGGCCTGGACACGTGAAACAACGTGGTTCCAGATCGGGACCACCATGTTAGATACCCCCCTGGGCGGCCTGGACACGTAACAACTCGTGGTTCAAGCTCGGGACCCGCATGTTGATTATCCCCCCTGGGTGGCCTGGACACATGGAAACACAGTGTTTCAGCTCGGGGCCACCATATTAGATACCTCCCTGGATGGCTTGGACACGTGAAGACACAAGGTTCCAGCTCTGGGGCACAATGTTGAATACCTCTCTGGGCGGCCTGGACCCGTGAAAATAACCCCATGCCCACGATAATAATGTACCCCCCCTTAAGTCGTTAGAATTTTTATCGTCGACCAATAAGAGTTTGGTCGGGGGCACGGGGGCGCGGAGGCCGAACTTCATTATCACTGGGAAAGTTCGCCATCGAGGTTACTTCCTTCTCATGCTTCTCGTGCTCTTCCTCCTTCTCACAATTATAATAGTTCTTCTCTTCTTTATGTATAGTTCTCTTTATATTTCTTTTTCTTATTGTCTCCCTGCCCCCGTGAACTTGTTTATCGCTGGGGTTGATTATCCTGGGAAAACTAAGCACATGAGCTACCCTACACGAGCAGATTAACATGTTAATTTCCACTAAGCGTTTACAAAGTAAACCTAATAAGTTTTGAATTTTGGATGTTTGCTTCTTCCTCTTCTTCTGCTTCCCCTGCTCTTCCTCCTTCTCATCCTTCTGCTCTTTCTTTTCTTCTTTCTTTATCTCTCTCTCTTTCTATTTCTGTTTCTCCTTGTCTCCCTGCCCCCTGAACTTGTTTATCGCTGTGGTTGATTATCCTGGGGGAACTAGGCAGAGCGAGCAGATGGAAACCTTAATTTCCATTAAGCGTTTACAAATTAAATCTAATAAGTTTTGAACTTTGGATGTTCGCTTCTTCCTTCTCCGCTCCTCTCTCCTCCTCCTGCTCCCCCTGCTCTTCTTGTTTTCCTTATATATATGCATGTTCTTTGGATTTCCTTCTCTCTCTGGCAGCTTGATATCTCTTTGTGCTGGCTCTGGCGGGCAACTTTTATTATCCCCCGAAAACCCCGAACTTTATTATTCCTTAGGGTTTATTATCGGGGGCATGGGGTTACGTGGTTCCAGCTCGGGGCCACCATGTCAGATACCCCGAAGGGAAATCTGGAACATCACCAGCCGAAGAACCTGTCAAGTTATCATACATCTGATCTTGCCGGGCTCTTGTGGACCCTCCCACGCTGGGGGCGCCCAAGCGATCACATGTTAGATGCCCCCCGTGGGTGGCCCGCACACGTTGGAAACACACGGCTACAGCTCGGGACCACCATGTTCGATACCCCCTCTGGGTGGTCTGGGCACGTACAAAAACACGCGGTTCTAGCTCGGTGCCACCATGTTAGACACCCCTCTGGGTGGTCTGGACACGTGAAAACACATGGTTCGTTCTCGGTGCCCCAGTGTCAGATGATACCTCTCGTGGTGGCCCGCACATGTTAAAAATACGTGGTTCCAGCTCGGGACCCCCATGTTAGATACCCCCACGGGCGACCTGGGCACGTGAAGCCAAGCATTTCGCCTGAGACAATTCTGGCCCCCAGGAGAGGAGTAAACCATAGGAACAAGACAAGCGTTTCGCTCGAGATATCCTCAACTAATTCTGCAAACCAAGCGTTTCGCTGGAGACATGCCCTGGAGCCCACAAGCGGCCCACAGAAGCAGAACTAGAGAAAAAACGCCAAGATTGGAAAACAAACAACGGCGGACAGGGCAGTGCAACAAAGGATGGGGAGCGGAGAAGAGGGCAAGAACGGGACCCAGACCTCCTCGCGTCACGAAAACATCACGACGTACGGCTCTTAAAGCTGCTTGCGCTCTGGGCCCTTGCTGGGCCTCCAGAGCGTCGAACAACGACCGCTCAGGCTGAAGAGCCGGTCCGGGGAGAAGGGGTCGGAACCTCCAGGCGCTCACGGTCTGAGCAAAGCACGACGTTGGCGGACTCGTGAGCGAGATGGGCAGACGGTGGGGCGGGGGGAGGAGGAAGACGAGGAAGATCGGCACGGGGCGGGCCCGAGAAGACGGAAGCGGGGAAACCACGGGAGGGCTCACGCCCTCTCGCCAGCGGTCGCGGGTCGCGCGAGGCCTGGTCCCAGGTTGCAGCCGGGGCTCCACAGCCACGCAAACTCTGGGCGCGCGGGGGGCACTGCTGAGCCCGGCGCGTGCTGAGCGGCTGGGCGGTGCGCCACGCCACCGCCTTCCCTGCCAGTCGGCGCGCGGAGGAACATGTTAGACTCGATGATCCTCAGGACGCGTGCTAGCGCCAGCGGGTGCTTGGCCACCAAGGCCCTGCGGCACGACGCAGGCGATGCAAACAAGGGCCAGAGCACAGGCTGCGTGTCATCGGCGGAGCTGAACGGAGCAAGCACATATTGGGCTAATTATCGCACATCCTGACGATCAGCGATCGCTCACAGAGGGCACGCTCCCCGACACTGGGCGGCAAGAACGGACGACTAATCTCACTGGCCCTCCGGGCTGCAGGTGGCCTAGCGGTGTGCTCCAGGCCCACCGCTGCACTTGAACCCGCTCTCCCTATCCCCTCTCCATGGCCTCAACTTCGGCGGACTGCTGCCCATTTTTTGGTTCTCAGATTGGAAAAGCCGATGTGCAAACACCATCATTGAACACTTACTTTCTGGTACTGTTTGGGCTGTAACAGGGGAGCCCGAACGACAAACAGTTTCTTCCACCGCCCCGCGCTTGTTCTCAACTGACTCCCAGCGCGGCACAAGAGGCCCCCAAGACGTTGCCCACGACGGCTAAAGAGGCTCCTAGCAAGCCCCCAAGAATTTCCCAAGATGGAAAAAAAGAAACCGCATACACATAAACTCTTGTAAGTCCGAGCGGAATTCTTGAATCTGCTCTGGCCTTCTCCCTGGCGCGTGGAGCGCGCCAGGGGCGGCGCCAGAGGCGCCGTCATGAGGCTCCAACGCCGATTCGAGAAATTTGCGCGGACCTCTGAATTTATAATTCCCTACCTAGGCTCTGCCTAGAAGGGTTCGTACTCTCTGGGCTTAAAGGGCGGGGCAGTGGAACGCGCCCCGGGCGGTTCCCCCAGTATCCGCCCCGCGGTTCCCCCAGTTGCGCCCCCTTAGCTTAGCTTTGCTTATCTCATCTTAGCTTAACCTAGCTTAACTTAGCTTAGCTTAGCACAGCTTAGCACAGCTTAGCCTAGCCTAGCTTAGCTTAGCTTAGCTTGGCTTAGCCCAGCCTAGCCTAGCTGAGCTTAGCTTAGCTCAGCTGAGCTTAGCGCAGCATTAGCATAGCATAGCATAGCATAGCATAGCATAGCGCAGCATAGCATAGCATAGCATAGCAAATAGTAGCATAGCGCAGGCAAAGCAAAAACACGACCAAGCAACATCAACAACACCAGCAACGCAAAAGCAACAACAAAGGCAAAAGCACAGGCAAAGGCAAAAGCAAAGGCAAGAGCAACAGCAAAGGCAATGCACACCAAAAGCAGCACCAGTGCGAAAGTGTAGATGTAAATGTAGATGTAGGTGTAGGTGTAGATGTGGATGTAGGTGTAGATCTAGATGTAGATGTAGGTGTAGATGTAGATGTAGAAATGAGTCTTGCTGTTGATGTAGACGTAGGTGTAGATGCAGGTGTAGATGTAGATGTAGCTGTAGGTGTAGATGTATGTCTAGATGTAGATGTAGGTGTCGATGTAGATGTAGGTGTAGATATAGATGTAGATGTAAAGAACTCCCCAGTGCCCCGCCCTCATCGCCGTGCCTGCTTGCTTTTGCTGCTGTCTCGGCGACTTGTTGCCTGCTTCTGCTGCTGCTTCACCTACGGCGTTGCGTCGGCGTTTCTGGCGCTGCTACTACTACTACTACTCCTCCTCCTCCTCCTCCTCCTCCTACTACTACTACCACTACTACTACTACTACTACTACTACTACTACTACTACTACTACTACTACTACTACTACTACTACTACGACTACGACTACGACTACGACTACGACTACGACTACTACTACTACTACTACTACTACTACTACTACTACTACTACTACGACTACGACTACGACTACGACTACGACTACGACTACGACTACTACTACTACTACTACTACTACTACTACTACTACTACTACTACTACTACTACCGCTACTGCTACAACTACGACGATGCGGAGAAGGAGGAGGACGGCATTTACCGCTCCTACTAATGTTGCTTTCCTAGAGGCTCCAACTCCTAGGTAGGGTCGCACTGGGATAATTATTTCATTGCGTGATCCGTGACACGACGTTCCCAACAGATCCCCAAGATATTTGAAGAGCCCCTCAAGAGGGTCGAACCTGCCCCCGAGATGATCCTGGAAGCTTCCGAGAAGGCCCCCAAGACGGCCTCGACAGGAGTTCCCGAGAGGCTCTGCTCCCCAGAGGCCCTCAAGAGGCCCCCCCAGGAACGCCAAAGTTCCCCGAGGCGTAGCAGTGAGCCACCAGGAGGCCCCCAGGGCAGCCTGAAGGGACCGCACCAGGAGACTTCAAAGACGGCCGAGGAAGCTTTTGAGACGACAGCGGGTATTCAAGAGTCCCCCCCGATGATACGTCCAAAGGCCCCCAAGAGAAGTGCACATCCCCGAGAGGCTCCAAAACCTGCAACACATATATAAACAAAACTACCGATGAAGACCAGGCGAGCCTGGCGAGAGTTCTCTCGATCCCACCAGCCAGCTGGGCTGTAGGTCGCATGGGGGGCGTGTCCTCAAACCTTTCAGCAATCCTTGAATCCCAAGGGAGAAGTCCCCCTCCCTGTAGCCCCTCCCCATGGTCCCGATTTCGGCAGACTGTTGGGCTTCAAGGCTTAATTTTTCGCCTGTAAGACCGAATACGCGGACGTGCAAAACCAACACCCGTCTCTTGTTCCCCATACGTCCCTCCAGATGCTGCTAAGAGGCCCTCAAGACAACCCAGGGGGCCACCAAGATAGACGAGGAAACACACGAGTAGTGCCCAAAACGGCCCACAAGAAACCGCCGATATGCCCGGAAAAACGGCCTGCCGGGCCTTCCCGAAGAAACTTCGAATAGCATCGAAAATCGGGTTGGAAACCTTTGGGCGGCCCAGTGAGCCACCGAGACGCCCCAGCTACGGCCTGAAAAAGCCTTTGGGAGACTTACAAACGGCCTACACGGAACCTTGCACGTATCCACTAAAAAGACACTGGCGCCCCTCAGAAGCCTCCTAGACGAGCGCAAGTCCCCGAAAGGACCCAAATACTGCAATCAATGTATCTGAAACGACGGCCGATGACCCCAAGAGGTTGGCGAAAAAATCCATCAATAGTGGTGCCGCAATACTGTCGTTCTGGCGCGACTTTTTCCCCCGCTCCTCCCAGTCATCGCCCGCCCGCTCTTCTGAGCATCACTCGACCACACGGGACCAGATCACATCACGCAGTGGCGCACTGTGCTGCTTTTGGGGGCAGAACCATACCCACCGACCCGAACAAAGAACACTATCCACGAACTGTTCGCCGCGGCAAGGCACAAGCACTCCGCGCAGGCGCTCGAGTTGCGGGGGGCGCTTGGCAAACCGACTGTCTGGCTGCAAAAAAAAAAAAACGCGCGGGGAGGAGCGGCCACGGAGTGGCAGGAGGGGAGGGCGCCCACCGCGGAAAAAGCATTTCACGGGGAGCGCGCCGGTGCGGCCAGCTGGGGCTGAGGTAACTTGGCAGTGGGCGTGGGACGGCACCACGGCCACACCCAGGGACCGAAGCCAGGGCTGCAGACGCTGGGAACGTGAAGGCGCAAGGTGCGCCAGTACGTCAGGACAAGCAACAGCCCAACAAAAACCCACGGGGGCTGCGGGAGCGGGAGCATCCGCTTGTTCGCCACGTTGCCGATGACGTCAATCTTTGCTGCGAAGGGTCGGCGCCAGCTGGGCGCGGGACCGCGGTCCAAGTGACAATACGAGAAGCCCGCGAGGGGCTGCGCCAAAGCGCATGGGCTGCAGCAACATGATGCCGGACCAAGCGCCCAGGATGCTTGCGACTGCAGAAGTGGTGCAGCAGGGGCTGCAGGCGCCGGCTGGGAGCGCCGGGCGGCGGCCCAGGCGGCGACGTGGCGGCGCTGGAGGAGGGGGGAGAAGGGAACGGGGAGGAAAACCGCCTGGCCCGGCCGGCGCACGCATCACGGCCGAGCGGATCGGACAACAGCCCAGCCACAGGGTCACCCAGGCGGTGACAAACCATTCACGAACAGACAGCGCCGACACTGACTACCTACCAGACCACCCCAACCCAACCCGAAGACCCGAATTTGACCCGAATTTCGGGTTGGGGGGGGGTACGGGTTCCATGTGTTTTTTCAACGTTCCCCGACCCCCCCCACCAGAAATGGAGGGCAAATTGAGGCCTTCGGGTTGGGTTGGGGTGGTTTGGTACGTGGTGAGACACGTGGCGGATTCAAAAACTCTGAACCAAAAACCTTGCCATCTCTTGGGGGGCAAAACTTCACTCCCGCCGCTTCCCGCCGCCCTCGGCCCGGGAAGAGATGCCAACTCCTTCGATCCTCGGAGGCGAAGTCCTCTTGTCTGCAACGCCTCGCGTGGGCAAAACGCGGGCAACTCAGACCAGAGGAGAATAAGCCAACCCGTGTTGCCACAGTTCTGCACCCCGCGGACTGCGGACACATACTGAGGCGGCAGAAGGGGAGCTCACACCCGACGCAAGACGTCAAGGAAATGCGCAAACAAGTCTGGAGATATCGTGATGAGGCAGGAGGCAAGAACACTTGATGAGGCGAGGCTCTCGCTGGCAACGGGGCGGGCTCCGATGGGACGCGCGGAAGAGAGCAGGGGAAGGACGACGACGACGACGAGGAGGAAGAGGACATCATAAACAACTTGAATCACCGCTCTGCCTCGCATTGTCAAGTTTGCTAGCCCAGACGTCCACAAACATACAGGACATGGTAGCACATCATCGAAGATCATCACACCGAATCGGCACACACTACAGAAAGTCTGATCACAAAGAACCTTACATCATAGAGCAAGTGGGAGGCCGCGGGAACACGGAGCGAGCGCTTTGAGGGCGCGAAGAGGCCAAGCCCATCAAGGCGCAACCGTGCCAGTCTCCTGCTAGCGTTCCTGCCCCCTGCGCTTCCCCTCCCCTGCCTCCCCACCGCCCCACCCCTGACCGCCCGCCCTTCGGGTGAGCCGAGAGGGCCAGGA